TTTTTCTATCTTTATCTCTTTACATCGTTATCAACGATTCGATCCATTTCAAGATTTCTCATATAAAAATTTCTTTCTTTTTTTTTTCTACCAAAGTAGTACCAGCAAACAGTTCCTACCAGTCTTTTTCGCAACGATCTACATACATGACAATCTTACGTTCTTTCACATGTCGTTTTTTTCTTGAAAAATTCCTCGACGAGCATGAAGAATTCTGTGGAAAAACTCCCGAGAACTCTTAAAGCGATTCTTCTCCTTTATCAATTTAAATCACTTTTATTTATTTTCTTCGGAAACATAAATGAAAATTTCATTTTTTCAATCATAATACGCTGATATTTACATGAAATGAAATATTACTAGGGTGTATCAAATGAACGCATAAAAGAAAAAAGTTTTAATAAAGACTCTCGTAAATATAAGAACGTGAAAAATTCTGCGTATGCAAAAATATGATATGTCCGTCAAACGAACAACGTTTAACAACGGGTAAACGAGAAATGTCAGGGAAATTCGACAAAGTGTCGTTCAACGTCGACGTCGGAAAAAAAAATGAAATTTTAACGATTTCTTTTAAAACAACGATATCTATCAAACGAGAGCTTCGATATTTCCCCTCGAGATACGATGACCAAGGATTAGATGACGAGTTTTTGAACTAATTCACCAGAATGAGCTCACTATTTATGTATCTGTCTGTGTGTGTCTGTGTGTGTCAATGTACCAACCGGAACCTCCTACTGTTCGAGGATAGGCCATCAAACCGATTGTAATCAAACCACCCTTCCCTCGACTCTTCAGTGAAGCTACCTTCCCAGTAGCAATGGCAACCCTTCTCCTATTCTTCGTCCTCTTCTCTTTCTACTTCTCTTTCATTACTTCCGTCTCTCTTCGGTAGATATAACTCGATTTTCGACTACTCCTTCTTAACCCACTTCCTCGTTACGTCCTACCTTTGAAGGTGACGGTGATAGCAAGGAAACGTAAAATAAAAAAGAAAAAGAATTGAAAGAGGATTGATAAGGGTTGAAGAAATGGAAGGATAACGTTCGTTGATCCGTTCGAAGTTACACCCTGAGATCAGATTTCCACCATTGGATAAGGGAAACGAAAATGATGATTTTCCAAAATCGATAGAACTTTCTAGTACTTATTAACGACACTAACGCGACTTTCGAGCATTAGACAAAGGCACGGTGAAAGAGAAATCGAGGGTAGGGAGGAATAAAGGTAAAAGCTTGGCGGTTTTCTTGAGATAATTCGAGATCCCTTATTTTAGATTCGATAAGCAGAAAAGAATAAGGTTGGGAAAATGTCAATAAGAAGAAAGAAAGACAAAAAGGTCTTGCACTGCAGTCAACGGGATATGCTAATACGAGAAGATGTCATTCGACCAAAAGTAAATTTGCACAAAAGTCTTCTAATTCCTATCTCGATCTGAAAGATCCCGAAGAAGGAAGATTCTATGTCGCAAGACGTTGGTCGACGATGATAACGACGACGACGACGACGACGATGGGTTGGTAAAAAATGCAAATGGGGTCAACAAACTGGCACGTCAATGGTAATAAATTGAGAATCCATCTTAAACTCTAAAGCAAAGCGGAGCAATTAGGGATAGAGCAAACGAACTGGATTTTGCAAGAACGGAATGCATATTCAGCGAACATGGTAAAACCGCGGCGCGTATGTAGATGCCGACAATGAGCTTAAAAGAGGATGGAAAGGAATGAAAGGTGGTAATGTTAGTGGGGGGTTGGGGGAGGAGACATAAAGGTCTGATAGTGTATGGACTTAGAATAAAAAATAAAGATAGCTGAGAAGTAAAAATCTCGTGTATACGTACACTATATCGACAGTTTTACCCTGTCTTTCCTGCTTCCTGGTGCAAATATTATTTATTGCCGTAGAAGAAAATTTCCATAACTCCAAATTCGGCTAAAGTCGTCTAGCAACCACTTTAGACTTTCTCCCCGAGTTTCTGGCTCAGCTTTGAATCCGAACAAACCTTCCTTTTACTCTTCATCTTTCTCTTTCATTTTCTAGCAAGAGAGTTATGTTGCTTAAGTATTTTTTTCAATTTACCAAGCACGACGTGGTTACGCTACCCTTCTTTTCTATAAAAGCTAATATATCGATTGCAACTAGAACCAACCTCGAACGGATAATAAATTAACGCATAAGTTTCCGTCGAAACTGAAAAGACTTTCTAATGGTTTGAAATTCGCATATGTGTGTGTGTGTGTGTGTATATATATATATATATATATATACAGAAAAATGAAGAAAGAAAGAAAGAGGAAGTAGAGAGACGTTAAACAAGAATGATTTACGATCGAAGCAAATTTGATAGTCTCTCAATTTACCCACAACTGAATTCGAAATCAATCCCGACGCCTATCCTTTCAATTATGCGACGAATTAGATTTAAATGAATCTATAAAGAACGTTTAGCGTTCGAACAGTTATTTTGGTGGAAGAGAACGGATTGGAAAACAGACTCTCCAGACTGCAGCATAATAAATAATATTCAAAAGTCCGATCTTGTGCTTCAGATATTTTTAGTTACTTTAATCTCCTTCTCTCTAGATATTGGATAAATTATATAAATACTGTAGATCGGACAAATAAATAATTTTCCTAGTATCAGCATGGTATCGTAAACATTTGTTTTAAATTATAAATATTGCTCTTTTGTGAAATCAGTATCAACTCTATTTTACTTTTCTCGCTCACCCCTAAGTTCTCTATCTCTCTCTCTCACTCACTCACTCTCTTTCTCTCTGTATCTTTCCGTGTAGTTGTCGGGTAGGCCAAAGCAAATGCAAACAAAGACCGCGAATAAATATGGGGTGCATGCGGCATTATCCAAGGTATCCACCTAACCTAACAATGCTAAATTACCGGTTGCAATTTTAATAGGAACGCTGAAAGCGAGGGTTACCCTTGCTGTGATTTTACGCTTGGCCGACGCTTTTGCGAAGCTACGATAATTGTGTTGAATACCTAAAGAATAGGTAACGCGACGATGTTTTGGCTTACCTCAAACAAATTCTCTACAATCCATCTGTTTAACGAAAAGTTTATTGTGTTACGTCGCGCGTAAAATGTAACTTTCTCATAAATAATAATAACTCTGCCAATAATTATTATCGAAGAAAAATTTAATACATATTAAAGTATTAATACAATCTTGAAAATAGGGTCAGGCAATAAAATTTTCATCATACATCCCTGAAAAGACTTTGGTATTATTGCGACGCCAACGTCGACGCCGGTCATTACTGATCATTACCTATTGCATGGGCGAAACTGATTGCTTAACCAGAAACAATTAATTATCGCTTTGTTTTATATCCCCCTCGTTGTTTATATATAGCCTATACGAATATGGCATGTATAGGGTAGACCGATGGTGGTAATAATACGGCGGGGATGAGGGTCGAATGCAATTCGTTAAATATCTCAAAATATGTAATAAATATTAATACAAATATTGAATTTATGATGAAAAATGATATTTGAAATACACACATTCATGTTACGAAATATAAATACGCGATACATATATATATATATGATTGAACAATATAACTTCTCGATACCCTAAAGTAACTTTCAGTTATTGTTTTAAAATTGTAATATAGATATTCCCTTTTCACAAATATCGAAAAACAACCAATATTGTAGGGCTTAATAATGGCCATACAGACAACACACAAGTGTTTATATATAAATATTATTTAATAATACCTAACTATAAAAACTCACTATTTACTCATATTTCTTAGTATCCGAATATTAAAATAATATTAAAATTAAACGAATTTTTTATACCATATGCGTCACTGTATGCAATAGTGTGCTTTTTTCTATGCAACATGAAGCTACATTCTGAGAACCTTTTGATGCAATTATTTCATCACAAAGATACATCTCAATATTGTTATAATGACAATTATGATATCTTAAATTTAAAAATTTGTAATATAAAATAGAAACTGTGAGTTTGAGAAAAAGCAAAATATGTGCTGCATGGTGATCTCTGTAAAGTTAATATTTTGTATTTAACTGTATGATTCATATTTCTTATGTCTAGTCTGTCTCTAATAGCCAAACTGTAACAATGACGCAACAGCAGGAGCTGAGTATTATAAGCAACGAATTCAAAATCATTGCTCTAATCAAACAGAAAGATAATTACGAAATTTTTTATTTATTAGTACACATCTAAACCTGAAAATTGTTCAGCGCACGTATACCTACTTCAATTTCTCCAAAACGATGCCTGAACAAAACAATGTTATTCTTTTTTCCAACATATTTTTACGTTTAGAATACTCCTGCTCGATTGTACCACTTGTCCTAGATTCATTCTATACATTTGAATATCGTTGCCATTGAAAAACGAAGAATCTCATAAGCTTCTTTGCGCATTGAATTGAGGTACAATTTAGTTAGAATGTATTACTTCAAAATTAACAGTAATATATACAATATATACACAATAATGTACACAATATACAGTAATATACACACAAATTATATTATGCTAATAATGATATCAACCGTCGAACGCTAATAGTCTACAGGAATCTCGAACCAACTGTGTAATTACATCATTGGCGTTGAAATATCCTTTAAAGCATGATTTGTTTAAGTTCAATTATATATTTTTCTATATATATATATTATTATATATTCTATAATATTTATTCGTTATTTACTAATATTATTTGTTATAAGTTGAACATTGAAATTATTGTCACGTTCTCTATTATATATAAGAGTACTTCTGTTAAATGTTATTTTACATATAATTTTGTAATAATTATTATTATTATTATTATTATGATTTCTGAATATCTTTTATCTTCTATTATTATTATTATTATAGAATCACATATATATTCTCATACTATTCATATATTATATATTATACTAGTTCATCGCATAGATTTAATCATTTTAACGAAGGCCTTTTACACTCTCTGTTTCAGAACACTACCACATATTCGTAGGAGATCTGAGCCCGGAGATCGAGACACAAACCTTGAGGGAAGCCTTCGCTCCCTTTGGCGAGATCTCGTAAGTCCTCTTAATCTTCCTCATTAAGGACGACTTACCGTCGTCCTTCTCCTAACGTAGCCTTGTTGGTGGTTCTATACGAGCGCGATAATATAGTACCATAATGCGACCAATAATCCTTCTCTTTCTCGACGAAGGACACGTATATGTTCCGTTTTTGGTCAAAATATGATCGACGATGATTATCCTAAACTGTCACAACTATCGATTTATTTCACCATTAATATTCCAAGAGGAATCGTTAGTATTTACAAACACACAATTCTATTCAAATTTATAAACACACCATTAGCACACAAAAAATATATAAACGTAATTCGAGGAACATATAACTAACCATGTATGTTTTATTTTTGTTCATTGCATGATTGATGATCATCATCGCCATAGGCTTTAATAATAATTATTAGGTTGGCCGGAAAGTTCGGGCTGATTTATAAATATTTATCTAATGAATATTTAAATATATATTATTCTATATATTTCTAAATACATATTTAAATAAATAATAAATACAAATATTTACCTATAAAATCCTTCTCTTCAAAATCATCACGTAACTTTTCAAATTATTTAACATTCATTTATATTTCTTTATTGATATATTCAAAAAGATATCGCGTCTACTTTATTAGATTAAAATTCTATTGAATTTATAATAACTCATAGTTATAAAATGAACAAATATACAGACAAGTTAGAAGAAAATAGAGAAAGATAGTACGAAAGTAGCACGCAAAACTGCAGTATAATAACCGTGTACTTCCGTGTCCAAGCACGCTGAGAATCTCGTAGAGGGATGCAATGAAATTTCTAGAAATCACAGAAGGATACGATGGTAAAATCTGAATATTTTGTTTTATCAAGCGATATCGTCCGTTTATTACGTTTTTAACGAGCGCTTTTGACTACCACCCCCTCTCCCTCTCTCTCTCTCTCTCTTTCTCTCCTTTCTTTCTTCTTCCCTTTTAACTGAGGGACTTTTACGAGTTTCCATCATCGTCGGGACATTTCACGATGCATCCACCACTGACGCGAAACGATAATAACGCGTATATCTTTGCGATCGCTAGCCAGGAGTTACAACGCTGACCTTGTATATTCCTCCTAAACCGGTTGATCGATAGAAACACAAGCAACGGGAAAGAGAAAGAAAGAAATAGAAAAAGTTAAAGAGAGAGAGAGAGAGAGACGATTTAAAGGTAGGACGATGATATCGCGAAGAGAACAACTCGGCCGTGACTCCACAGAAGTCAGAAACGAAATTCCGTCAATTCCTTTCTCTCTCTCTCTCTCTCTCTCGTACATACACACGTTCATTCTCTCTCACCCTTTGTGTCTGATTGATTGTATCGGCATTGTATACCGCGCAGCGGGAAATACCGGCCTCTTGTCTGAATTCCCCGATATGATTTCGATTTGGCGCCGAGGCGGGTCGCGCCAAAAGGTAATATTTTTTCCGAGACGAGGAATAGAAAGTCCGTCGATCGTGAAATACGTCGTACGTATATATATAGAGAAAGAAAATAATAGAACAAGAAGGAGAAGAAAAAAAAAAAGTAAATGGGAATGAAAGAGCGAGATAAAGGATGCGAACGCGATCGTTGAAATATTTATATGAAAAGTAATAAATATTCGATAAGATATAAATAATTGTTCAAATAATGAGAATTTAAACAAAACATTTCATGAATAAATGATTAACTTTGGAAAGAAATATTTGTAACATTTTTACACAGAGAGAGAGAGAGAGAAAGAAAAAGAGAGATAGAGATAGAAACATATTATTAAACGTAATTGGATTAAATGATTTGCGAAAAGATCTATTTATGCATATACAAAAAACTTCAAATTCCGAAATTCGATAGTCGACTCAGTCATTATCGACACATACTCGTGTATATATATATATATATACTCAGCAATTAATTATCCTAGAGCGTAAAGCATTTTGTCGCGCGCGTATCGATCAATAATTCGATATTTAAGCGTATATATGAATACACTGTAATTATAATATTTAAATCGTATTTGTGAACATATTTCGCTTACCGCGTCACCGTTAAATGTAATATTCTTCTATTTATGAATTACATATAATATATCCAACACTGACGTAGCACATTGGTAATGAATATATTTTATTTTATTGATATTTCTACTAAAAAGCGATAAATTGAAATTGATACGATCTTTCTATAATAACGAAATAACTAAATGTAGAAAGAGAAAAGATAATAGGGGAATAAAGGGTGAAAGGAAAGAGCACGAGAAAGGAGTCAAACAAGAAAAAGGAGTCGCTCGTGCGATGATCATTAATAACAAACTTATTACTCGCCGATCGATCGAAATATATACCGTTGAAAAATATTTATACCTATATATATACATATATAATAGATAAATAATATCTTCGTGAAATTTAATGCGATACAATCGAGCTTTAGCCAGCCTACGAGGGACCATTCGAAAATCGAGCATCAACGTATAAACATAAATTTCAAATTTAGCCAGCAGTAACAGAAGGCTTCTAACTAACGGAAGACACGTACAAAAGGTAGATGGCGAGAATTTGCTAGCACGGAAAGATGCGAGTTTTGATTCGAATTCCCCGACCTTCGGCTCGCTTTACGAACGAATGAACGAACGACATTCGAGAGAAAGAGAGAAAGAACGAGTGAGCGAAACAGCTGGAAGTAGGTACAGTTTGCACTGCTTGGCACAAGAAGGTGAGTAGAAAAATGGGGCCCTCTAGGAAAATCGATTCAAACTCGCTCTGCGAGTACCTAAGCCGCGCTTTAAAAAGCTAGTGAAAAATTGCCAGAGGTTTTCCTCTTTTATTTTGTTTTCCACTCACTCCTTCCATCCCTCGTTTCTCTTTCTCTCTTTCTCTCATTCTCTTTTCGTCCTGGTCCATTCCTACCCTTACCCTAACCCTCATCACTGCTACCACTCCGACGTTTTTCTCTGGCTCTTTTCGCGTACCTTTCATCCTAGTAGGGTGCCTCTCTTTCTACCGATTTCAAAGTTCTATTCTTCTTTCTGCGTGTTACCTTAGAAAACTATATCTAGGACCGCACCAACACAAGCAGTAGTAATTTTTATCTACAAAAAGGCTTGCCCTATGGCCTTGCTCTTTCTCCATAGGGTAAACACTCGAGATTAATTATGCAACCTCTGTGTAAGCACTGATCCGTTCGACATTCGATCGAGAGAGGGATATCGAAGGGCGATTTACGAGCATCTACTCTGAAACACGTTCCCTCGTGGGCTTAGACGAGGTAAAGTGTCGTCTAGCAAAGTAGAAAGACGAAGAAGAGGAGAAGAAGGAGGAGGAAGAGGAGGAGGAAGAGGAAGAGAAAGTGGAGAGAAAGACGGCGTAGTGCTTCTGAAACCCCCAAGAAAGTCGTTTCAGATATCTCCGAGGTAATCTCATCGTTCCACGCTCATTATTCTCTCGTCAAGACGGCCAATTAATATCATCGTCGCGGCATCAAGTAGAAGCAAAAGAGAGAGCGCGCGCGAGAGAGAGAGAGAGAGAGAGAAAGTGAAGAAGAACGAAATTCGCATTCTTGGAAAGAGGAGAACACGCCAGCTTCATTTCCCGTTTTGACAGATATATACGGGACTGCGAGTACTCTCGATCTCTTGAAAGTCGAGCGAAGACGCGCGAGCATCTTCTCGTATCGTCTCTCGTGAAAAGCTATTAACATCCTATCTCACTCTCTCACTCTCTCTCTCTCTCTCTCTCTCTCTCTTTCTATCTCTTACAACTTGCTTATTCGAATGGCTGGATCGTGCGATAATATCCACGTTAGGAATGCTACGCTTCGCGTTATGTATCTCTATCATCTCTGTGGAAGAAGCATAGATGGATAGTAAAAGAAATAAAACGAGAAATGGAGAATGAGAGAGAATGAGAGAGAATGAAAGAGAAAGAGAAATAGGAAAAGATTTTACATCCCAACGAGTTCGAAGGAACCCCAACCCTCTAGAGAGGCATCCATTAATAAAGCATTAAGCTCTCCGAATACTCGACGATTGTCAAAAGAATTTCGATATCCCCCTGGTCGACGGCTAACGACGCGATCGCGCGAATATTCCATAGATAATTTATCGGACAAGGGGAGAATAACTTCGATGGCGCAAGTAGCGTGAACATTTCTAACACCATTTCCTGGTATTACGATTAAGATATCAGTTTATTACGGTTATACGATCGACCATCGATCATTATCTTGACAAAATGATTATTATTTTTCCTACCCTTCCTTGGAAAATATTTCTTCCAATTACGTTAACGATATTAATATTAACTATAGAATTAAACAGAGAGACAAATATACAGAGACAGAGAAAAAGAGAAAAATAATAGAGAGAAAAATAATCCTTCTATTTTAGAAGGAATGAGTGAATGCCGCATTATGTTGTTTATATCACGGCTTGATCTCGAAACGAAAAAGCAAAGCTCGCTTTCAGGTTTAAATGGCGACTAAGTAAGCTCCACCTTTACCTTCTACTATTTCCACCGCCTTAGTTTTCACCTTTGACCATCCTCCAACTACCGTATATGGTTACCTGGAAAGACACATATACACACAGTCAAGTCTACGCGTTTTCACACGAGAAATGATTTAGGTAGGCTCGCGAGCACTAGCTTTTACTACTACCACGAATATCATCGGTATCTCACTTATATTTAGGAAAAGAGAAGGAGAGAGATAGTTCTCTCTCTCTCGGTCCGACACTAGAAACCTAACTTATGATAGACGAAGGTTTCGTTACCACCAAGGCTCCCTTACACTTTCACGAGCACCCTTCTCTCGCTTGGCCGACCGTCTAACCTTCGACCCTCTCTCTAACAGCTTCCCAAGATAAAGAGAAAACGAGAGAGGTTTAATCCATGAATCCAGAAACGTTGAAGTTAAAAAAGGATAGAACAAGAAATGAGCTAGCAAGAGTATAACGAGACTTTACCCTCTTCTCGTGTATCTTCACCC